AAATGCCGCGGAGACCCGCTCCGTTTTCCCCTGGGAAAAAGCCTTCGGGCCAAAACACCGCCGAAGCCTCAACGACTTCCAACTTCATTGACGACCCGAAGCGAGACAAGAACCAAGAGTTTTCGTCGATCGGTACACATACGCCATCATAACAGCAGCTGGCGCGCATTTTCGCGAATTTCCAGCGCTGGCAGAAATCACGAAAAATAGCACTTGCGTCTCAGGATAAACCCCGACCGAAACCATATTTTCCTCTTTATACGCGTAAAATTAATATGTACCCAGCATTTCCTTTCCACCGCTTCCCAATACTTCATTTGATTTTGCCTTTACTGTGGCGCACGCTTCGGTTTTTATTGCTTCCCCGCAACGACCAACAATCGGCGATTTTACCGATGCAAATTTCGGATCTTGTCGAGAAAGTGTGCTTTTTTTTTGCCGTCACGCACGGTTTCTTACGATTAAACCAACGATTTTCACGCCATGAGATGGGCATGTTTTCGTATGAAACCTTGGCTGACCACCTGAAGAACATAACTATATGAGGTAAAGCATAATTTTCTCTATCTTTCTTTTGAATAGATTATATACAGTATATATGTGTCAACCGCATTGACGGAATTGTAGGCTTATAATGTACCCAAAAATGCGCTGAAACGACTATAGTATCATCGATATACTTGTAGACAGGCCGTGATCAAATCACAATAGCAAGAAGGCGAGTTTTAAACAATGTAATCACGTGGATGAAGAGAAATCATTCGAAAAAATTGCGGAGAAACCCCTGCTATTGAAAACCATGGAATGTATTTTACCACATGATTTACCACCGGTCTTTTCACCGGTTGCAGTATTTCGGCACAGCGTGAATTTTCACGAAGTCCAGGGAATCGTCGGAATTAAAGTTCATGAGAGAGTTAAAAAAAAGCCTAATGACTGTTTCACGCAGATACCGACGGAAATGTTCCTTCAAACTATTTGTCAATACAGTTTAAACTAAACTCAAATTGCTACCAATTTTATTCGGCCAATTTTCGCGTGAATTATTCATTTCAATTGTTAGACCATGGACATTTGGATATCATTATGCATTTTTCATCCAAAAGTGTTTCGTATGTGCTATTAAAAAAACTTTTTCGCTCTACAGTTAAATGATAACATTCCCGGCTTTATTTCGCCTGCAGTGGTTGAAAATGAATTTCACAGGACCTAATACAGAACGATACCCCGAGGCGAAAAACTTCATTTCGAAAGAAAATAATGAAATGACATTGGCCAAGAGAGGCCCCAGTTGCGCCACAAGTTTGTGTTCNGGCCCCAGTTGCGCCACAAGTTTGTGTTCAGCGTGAAAATTGATGAAAGAAAAATTCCGAGCTCGGATAGTCATGAGAACATGCCCCTGATTATGCAACTGGAGCATCATTGAAGTAAAGCGACACAGGACAGGACACACACAAGTGGTTTTTCCGATTGAAAATTATTTGCAAGTGCTGGTATGACAAAGCTTCCCAATTTCACTGCTTCATTGACTGAGCATTGTTTTAAATTTTTTTAGACAGAACGATGCTGCGTTTCATGCAATTATTCTAAGAATAAAAATTGGGGAAGTTCCCGGATTTTTCGTATTTCAGTCATCATTCAGCAATGACTAATGCGATATATATAATATATTTTTAAAAAATGTACGACATTGGAGGTTTATAACAATTTAGACTTAGAGGTATATTGTGTTTCAGAGATGCGATTAATTTATTTGACCAGCACCTGAACCAATTTATGGCCTTTCCTTTCTATAATGAGCCACTTGTGTAACGGCTTAAAGAATTTTTCAAACACTTATAAGGGACAAAAGTTTGCAGGATGATAGTGCAAAAGTACTGCGATGTGTGCCTGTTATTTTTAATTTTTTTTACGAGATTATTTTTCTTCAAGAATGATCCACGGAGTCATTTTCTGAGTTTCAGTGCACCTTTTTTAGCGAATACTTTTTATTTATATGTAAGAAGTACTGAAGTTTGAAAATCAATTCTTCAAAGATTTCTCAATTTTCGACGGTTTTTTTGCCAAATTTCTCCGCAAGAAAAATACGAGAAATACGTTTCTATCAGAGAAGAAGAAGTATTCAGCTACTCGGTATTATTTAAATTCAGTAATTTCTGCATTAGGTATACACCAAGATGAATGGGGAAATGTTCTTTTTTCGGAAGAAAAGTATCTTTATTTCACTTCTTGAAAAAATTGTGAACCAAAATTTCGGGAATTAATTATTCCTGGAAAAATTGCTGCACTTTCTGTATATAAACTGATTTCTCCATTAAAAATGGGTATTCTATTAGATACCCGTATATGTGGAAATTTAGAAAAATTATGATTGATGGAGTGCAAAGTTTTCCTTTTGCGAATTTTCAAGCTTTTTTATAATTGGGACAAACAACATACATTTTATTCAAACACACCATTATATTATCTGCGTTTGAATGGATAATTTTCTCTTTTAATATGCTTAATGTCGAGCTGATGTTCATGTGCACGCAGCTGAAGCTGGATGGCTTTGGGAATAAAAACGAATGTGCTCTTTACAGGCTCGATTTTTAAATATTTTCGCAGTTTATCTCGAATTATATCAAATTTGTGATCTAGTATTCTGCTATACGTATCTTATTTAATTTTATTAAAACTCACGGCTAGGAAATCTGGGCATTAATTTTACTTGAAATGAATCCGGAGAATTAATCTGTAACCTCTGCAGAGCAACTCACAGGTGTCATATCACAAATGCGCTTAGTTTGTCCATGGTATTTTAGATTCATATTTCCGCATGTCATTCTGGTATAAAAAATCGTTCATAAATTAATTAAAAGCAGTGTTCTCAAGAAAATTGTATTTTCATTCGAACCATAAAACACTGAAAAATTGAACCTCGGTTTTAACCATTGCACACGTATAGGCAAAAGTCAGCGGCTATTTTTTTTTTCCAGTTTTCTTTGCGCTTGAATATAGGAAACATCGTGCAAAAGAAAAGTGCGTATCTCGAGCTAAGTTTCTCTCTCTTCTTCTGCTTGGCTTCGAGCAAAGAAAACCTCGCCTACATGCTCTCATTGTCTCGCAATAAAGAGAACCTCAGTAGACAGTGATAACTTTATGATTATCTGACCGAGTTTTCATCTGAATGCTTTGGTTTCGATTAGCTGCTTCGGGTTCATTCGGGACGTGAGTGAGTCCTTCCGAGTCCACGGCATTTTCAAAGTATTCGCTGTCTTCGTACCAAGTCAAATTCTCTAGTCGTCGCATGCTCCGTATCGTAAGAAGCCAGCCTGGACGAAAAACACAGACGAAGAAGGTGAAAAGCGTAGGTTTGGCTTGAATTATTCATCGGAGTACCTGTGATCACGCCTCCACCGGTCGCAATACCAAGAGTTGTGAGAATGGCATACAACTGGGCCATGGGTTGGCTCGACGAACTTCAAGTTTTGAAAATGCAGATGAAATGAAAAGAAGAAAGTAAAAAACGTCAGCGAGGATCCAGGAAGCATTAAATATTCGCGCGACGCGGATTTACATTAGAAATGCTCACGCACAAATGCGCACTTCATCCCGGAAAAGCGCTGAAATCCAAAAAATAACCTGACGCTAGTGTCGACCACATTTTTTTTTGTTTTGGCTGAAGATCTCCCAAATAATTTTTTTTTATATTAACGCATCATTTTCGAGGATTCGCTCTGTTTCCGCGTGAAAATTTCAAACAGTACTACGCGAGAAATTGAATATTACGAGAAGCTGAAAAGCAGAGTATAATAATGATCTGGAATTTTACTCATCTCTCTGATATACAGTATGCTACAGACATATTATTCTCTCATACATAAGCAAAGAAGAGTGTTTCATAATTCTTTCTTTTTAGTATACATTTTTGAAGCAGCGATGGAAATTTTCGAAATGAAATGCTTAAATCAAATTGTTGATCCAATAAACAGTACCATCACGTTACTTCCTCAATGTAAGGCTCGTTTTAAGCATTATGGTTTGACGAAATTCGGTAGCCAAGGACATCATATTTTTTAATTCAAAAGAATTTTCCGCACCAACTAAAAATTTTTGAAAGGTTTTTGAAGTAAGTGCTAATCATCTCTGATATATTTTACAACTATATTATTATCTTATCGATAGAAGAGGAGAATGTTTCAAATAAAATAAAATAAATGTTTCATAATTCTTTCTTTTTATTAGTGTAAATTGTTGAAGCAGCGACTGAGATTTTCTAGATAAAATTCTTGGATCAAATTGTTGATCAAAAAAATTCCATCGCATTATTGTACATTCTCAAGAAGGCTCGCTTTCAAATTTTCGAAATAATTAGTCGACACGTCAGCCGTCGGTTCTGACAAAAGTCGGAAACCGACGAGTATATTATTTATTTAAATTCAAACGATTTTCAGCAACAACTAAAACTTTTGGAAGGTGTTCGAAGCAAGGACTAAACATCACTGATATATGTTACAGACATATTTTTCTCTTATAAATTTATAGAAGAGGAGAATATTTTAAATAAGCAAACCAAAATGTTTTATAATCATTTCTTTTCCCGAAAATCACAGCGAAGTTCACAAATGTGAGCAAGAAATTCGTAATTCCGCTTCACGGATAAATTTAAGGTCATTCGAAATACTACTGTATGATGAGGAATTCGTTCGATGATGGCAGGTCATGACGTGACTCGGTTTAAA